TGTAACTGCACTTATCCCTACCCCTAGGATGCCCCAGGAAGTCTTGAAGGCAGTGGGACTCCAACCTAACAGGGTGCCATCATAGGGATTCTGTCCCCATGGCCCGAAACAGTGATGGTCAGGGAGCAGTCACTCCGAAGAGCTGCCATGGAGTAACTGAAATATCTCAGAGAGGGTTGCTAAAGCACTGACAAAAAGCCCCAAATAAGGCTTGTACAGAAGATTGGCCCTCTTTCCCTCTCCTGATGCCTCCCATGTAAATGGAAAATGATGCTTTCAAATGCGGGGGGAGTGAAGGGGTGTGGAAATTTTTAATGTGACTAGGTAATTTAGCCTTTCATTAAAAAATATTCAGCCACATGTCACCCAATTTTTAATGTGACTAGGTAATTTAGCCTTTCATTAAAAAATATTCAGCCACATGTCACCAAATTTTTAATGTGACTAGGTAATTTAGCCTTTCATTAAAAAATATTCAGCCACAAAAATGCAATTGATTTCAGTTTTCTGTTAAGGAAGGGAGTAAAATTACTGCCAAAAGAATGTTCCCTAGCATTTCCCTGATTTTCCCCTAGGGTCTTCAAGTCCACTGATGTTAAAAGAAAAACAAAGAAGTACAGGATGGCACAACAAAGAAGTACAGGATGGCACATGAACACAGATCTATAAATCAAAATTGAAAAAAGAAAAGGAAGAATTTTTCATATTTTGAATCAGCCATTGTGTAAGTATTTTTTTACTCCATCAATACTCTGTGCTCAGGACATTAAGAGAAGACTGATATTAGGTTTCTTTCTGTTACATTGAGCCTGATCTGAATTTCCTGTCTAAGGCTTGGGAAATAAAATCAGAGAGGTTAAGATCTAATTTTACCCTTGTATTGGAAAACTTGGCTAGCAAAGGGCAAAATTTTGCCAAGATAAACAAGAAAATTTGGCTTAATTTTGTGTCTGGGTTATAAATACATTGAAAATAGGGAAAATTAGTCATATATAAATAATAGCTCCATTACATTCAAGAACATGTGGGTGGGTGTTATGGGTGGAATAATTTGCTAAGGCAGAGCTCTTCTTCCTTGCTTTTCCTCTTCCTCTTAATTTATTCCTCTTTCTGAATATGTGCTTCTACTTTTTAACCTTTATTTATATCTTGCTCTTCATTCTGTAATCTGAGTGATCTTTCTATAAAAGGTCTTTACACACTTTCCTTTGGGATTGGTTTTTTTATGGTTAAATATTTTTAAGATACCAACACAGGGTAAAGCACTTAAGTGTATACCTACTGCCTGGTGCACGCTTCCATTTTCTTGATGTCAAGAGATTCTCTGTTTAAAATCAAGGGAATGCTTAACAGCTCTGCTGTGCAATACTTGGTACAGCTCTTTTCACTATATTGCAGTACAATGCTGTACAACCTGCTGCAACCCCTCCTTCCCTCTTGTCCCCTCTTCAACATTTCTGCTCTTTCTTTTTGTTTTGTTTTTGTTTTGATGTAACTCGAAATTGATGCCAACGTGTAACGTTCCAAAACTTAGATTTCTGTCAAGGCTCCTGGCTGTTGAACCTCTGTGCTAAAGATGAAGGAACCAATTGCTCTAGCTATGCTGTCTGGTGTTTTGCAGCTTGGCAGAGTGAGGAATTTAAGAATCCGTGTGACCGTGCCTGGCTTCAGAACAAGTCTCAGCAAGGACCTGGAAGGGCCAAACTACCTGAAGGGTGGTGTTATTGTGCCCATGGTAACATCAGACCTGCCTGCAAGAAGAAGGGCAAGGAAAACAGTAGAGTTTGCTTGCGATTGTCTTGGTCTCATACCTTCCTACAAAAGCCCCTAGATGTTTAATGAGGTATTGTGTACTGCGAACATCTTTCACTGAGTTTGTACTTTCTATTTGTTTGTTTTAATTTTAATTGGGTGCTATTTACATCACTGCAAGTATTGCTGTTTGTTTTGGCATCCTATAGATAAGCATGTTTGTACTGTCCAAGAAATGCTGGGAATATCTGTGAGAAGTCATCCAGAGCTGATATTTAACCTAGTGCCTGAGCGGATCATGTCCTGACATTGTATGTGCTCACTTTGGTAACAATGCATTAGAGTACCAAAAATAAGAAAGTCTGAGCTGTGCTTTCGTTTTAAAACTAGGATATCACGCCAGCTGTTAGGAAAGCACTCAAAATCCCACGTTGTCAACAAAAATGCTATTGCCAGCCTCAGTGAAGTTTTGATTAGGCCTTGCACTGAAGGCAGGTTTGGCTCTTCCACCAGGAGCACAAGACTGGTAGCCCTCTCCTTAAATCCAGAGTCACCCGTTGGAGAGGTTTCTAATCCCAAGGGTTAAGGAGATCTTGTGCAGCAGCAATTTCTCAGACTGCAGGAGCAAATCCCAGAAGCTCCTGAATGCAGCACGCCACAGGAAGAGAGCAAGTCTGAGGACCCAGCAAGGAAAACTTTTGAAGTTCTATTCTTATAATGCTTCTTTTGAAAAAGTGCAGATATCCTTAGATATCCTTAAATATCTTTTCAATTTGTCCTGGCCTGGGAATCTCTTTCTACTGCTCCTAGTTTCCTTATTTTGGAGTGCCCGTGTTTCACTACTTAGAAGATTCCAAGTGTGCAAGTAATTGAGGGTAGAGAAGCCTTCAGCAGGTGGAACAACATGACACATGTCCTCACTTCCTGGCTCTCTTGAGGACAGAGACGTGGCCAGCCAGGCTGTCTTGCTGCTCACTGAATGGTTCCACATGGTGGGGTGATGAGCAGCAACAGACACTCTCTAGAGTCATTGGCAAGAAGTGAGACTAAAGATATCGGGTGACTTCCCACAGGAAGGGCCTACAATGGAGAACATGGTGTTTATCTGACGTGCATGGTTGGGAGATTACATCACTGAACACACACTGCACCCCCACAGTGACACCTGCTATATCCAAGATGGTCCCCACTTCGCGTCTGCCTTTCCGATGAGGATGCATTGTTCTGGCTGGGTTAATTTGAACTGATTTAGGGAAGCATTCTGAGTGTTGCTGAGCAGAGATAGCACCACACACGGATATAAGAGCATTGTTGAGACAAGCTCTATATGGGATGTTCTGCCAAATGGTTCCCTTCCCTTCCTCTTCTCATTTCCTTGTTCTCCTTCAGTCACTGGAGAATGCTAATCCCTTTCTTTATTTTTTTATGTGTAAACAGGTGACTTTCCAGACCTGCTACAAACTACATTTGACTAGAAGACTTTTCTGGAAAGATGCAGCAACTGCAGATGGAAATTTCTTTCCTGAATGATGGCAACTTGATGGCACTTACTTTGGTCCCAGTGGACCTGAGGATTTTAATATTGCTAAGTTTGTATGGACAGTCAGAATATAGAGAGCCCTGAACTGACAGCTCTAAACAAAAAGGAAAATACTACAACTGTTTTAATACTTCCCTCTTACTGATTTTTTTCAATATCTGTTTTTGAACATCTTTAGGAACAACAAATTTGCAATGCCTTGCTCATCCAAATCAGCAGGCTTCTGACATTTTGCTCATAGCACACAAAAGAGCACGCATACAGCTATATCTGAATGGAGAAAGTATGGAGACACCTACAGAGAGCAAAGTCATTGCTGGTTCCAGAAATTTCTCAGAATTAAATACGTAGAATTAAAATCTAAGCAGTAGGAACATCAGCCAGGATTTCCTCGCCTTGCAGGTACATTGGCTAAAATTCCTTTTTCTCCACCCTTTCCTTCCAGCCAGGAATGTCTCTTTCTACCTGTCCAAACCATTGGTTAGCCATTGGACAGTCTATCCCAGCCAGCCTGTTCCAGAGACAGTTGGCAGGGTGAGCAGGGATCACCTTTTCTGATGCTGGGCATTGCAGAGCAAGGTGGGAGAGTAATGGGGCCAGGGATGGCTCTGAAGGCTCACAGGGGAGACCTCGACTGTTGTACATGCAACAAAAACTATTCTCTGCTTTACCTAATAACATGTTTATTGTATTGAGGCTGCTGTGACATTAAAAGGGTAGTAATACCACGGTGGTTTTAGATGTGATCACAGGCCTTGTCTTGCACAACTGTAGGAGTCCTTCTAGTCCCACAACACGGACACTGACACAGGGAAAAGAGCAGCGTCCTTAGAAATCCCATTTCCATGCATTCTACTTTGCAGATTCGGTTCTTCCCTCTTCTTCTGATTCCCTCAGGGTACTCCCTACCCCCCTCTTCCCTTCATGTCTCTCCCTCCATCCGTTTTCCATGGCATATCTTCCCTCTCCTTTCACGGGGAATTAAGTTCTGCTCTTGTCAAAGAGCAGTCATCTTTCACCAAGTGCTGGAAGCAGAGTTTCCCAAGTCAACTCGGAGCCCAATATGATCTTAAATGTGCATGTCACTACAATTCTCCCTAATTCCAGCAAACCCCTTCTGTTGCTTTGGTAGAGCCTTGCTGTGCATGACAGAGCAAACTGTTCTGGGGACAACCAAGCTGGAGCTCAGTTGCACTCAAAACACATGGGTGAAAGTGATTTTTTAATTATTTCCTCATGTAGTAGTTGTGGTTACGGAGTGGTGTTTGGCCCCTGTACCCACAGGGTCAGAACACCTGTATTTTGGCAAAACATGAAGCAGAAGCATAATTCCAGCATTTTAAAAAAAAAAAAAAAAAAAAAAAAAAAAAAAAAAAAAAAGAGGAAATTAGCATTTCAAAATAAGGACATTTCTTAAAAGGTCCTGAAACTTGAAAACCACAACTTGCAAGTGACAAGCTACTTCTCTTGTGATATGGGATACTTGCTTTCACATAGTGATTCCTTGATGTCTTAACAGATGGTTTTTTGCATTTCCCAAAACAAAATGGGGCCAGAGGACTCACAGAAATCCCACATTTTCTTTTTTTTTTTTTAAAAAGACTCTCATCCCATCTTTTCAGCCCCAGAATCCAAGGATAGGCTCTGGCCTTCACATAAAAGGTATACAGCAGATAGCAGATTGTTTAAGCAAAACGAAAGTAGTGACTTCAGCATCAGTTTGAGAATTTTATTAAAACCATAGGTTTCCATTCTATACAAAACTGAGGAGCTTTCTTAAAATAAAAAACGTAGTAACCACATAGGAAATAATGCAGAGTAAGTGGATGGTTGATAAAAATCTCTGAAAGCTATATACAGGATTAATACTACACAACTGTATTAAGGTAGAGACTGTCAGCAACTTTAGCAATATATACAAACTACCTTTACACTCATAAATATCTTATTTACAGCTAATAAATAACATCCAGAGCTAAATCATGTTTCCTCATGAAAGAACCTTCACTGGTTTTTATCCAAGACCTAAACGTGTTTGTATTTAATCCTGTATTAAGAGCACAGCTATTCAGATACTTTGTTTTCAATGACTTTAACTCTTAAAAGACAACTGCAATAACATGTGGTATCTATAGGGAACAAATCATTATATTTATTTTTAGAGGTCTCAAATGCAGTGGCTCAATACTCAACCCCACCCTCAGTGACTCATCACATCTCTGTTGTAGATTAAGGGTTAGGAAATCAAATGTGAGCGATTTCAGAGCTATTAATATTGCAACATATTGCACTCTTTAAGACTTTTATCCCCAAATATACTAGCAGCTACAGTTGGAAAAAAGTAACAAACTTTGCACATGAACACACACAAAATCTTTGTTTTGCCTTCAAGATGGGATGATGTTGGAGAAATCACCGTCTCCATGATGTCTTCCACATGCAGGAAAGGACTACAATACTCAGCATCAACAGCTCACATCACATTTCTTCAAGTGTCTACTTTCAAGCCTTTCCACCTCCCCAGGATTTTATCTTCTAGAAAGCTAGAAGAAGGCGAATGCACCTTCCAGGGCACCGGAAAAACTACATGTTACTTACAAATGGGGAAGCGGAATGCCTTCAATATACCTGTTTTTGTCAGCTGGCAGCATGTCTAATTCCTGTGTTTTTTCAGAGCACTCATTTTTGTGCAGCACACAATCAGGCTCCCTTTGACTGGCACAGCTCCTGCTCCTTGCTGGATTCCATCTCATGTCAGAAAGCTAAGCAGCTCCTTGTACTACATCAGAGCCAAGAAACAAACTGGCAGTCCCAATTCCAGTACAGGGAAGCGTGAGCACGTTTTGTCACGTGCCCAGTGGATTCACTTGCACTGAAAACTGCACACACCAGTGACTCAGCCACATGAGTGACACTGGGTGTCAAAGAGCAGAGAAACTGTCCCAGTTTTGGCATACAGAATGCAAGCAAGTGGGGTGGGTGGAGGAGGTGGGGGAAATATATCTGTTTCCTGCATTTTCTGGTAGCTCATTTCCTCTGCAGTTCCTTGTTCACAGTGCTGGAGGCTAAATGGTTTTGTTTTCAACAAGTGAAAGCACAGATAAAATGTTCAATGTGCATAGGACACTGGTGTATTGCTGCCTTCTCCTACAACTGTTATTTATTCCAGGGTAAGCTGCATAGAAGTAAAAAGCTTAACACATCATACCTATTGCTAAGCTGCACTGGCATCTACCCCCAGTAAAAATACATTCATGACCACAAACTAAAAAATTCATCCCCATATTAAGTCAGGCCCTCACACCTTCTAGTAACACACAGAGTAAAGGGTTTGGGTTTTTTCCCACGTAAGAAACCTACTTATTTGCTAAAAACACATTTGAAAACAACGAATTCTCACCACTGAACTGCCTGAAAATTCAGTTAGCCAAAGCAGAAAAAATTCTGTCCAGTTTCAAGAGACTCCTGAAAGGAATACAAAAAAAAAAACAACCCCAAAACACAAAAAAACCCTGAAAACAAAACAAAAAAATTAAACCAACCACCACAGGTACAGGGCTTTGTTTTTTTTCAATAAATACTAGAAAATTGCTACAGAGGATCTGATGTCAAGAAACCCTGTCACAAGGCACCATGATTAAGCAAAATTACTTATTTCTTTTCAGCACTTCAAGACTTTGGCAAGTTGTTTTGCAGGTTTGTTTTTGTTTTATACTATTTGGATAATGTATCTTTATGGTTAGTAACTTTGTATGCTGAGACTGTCTTACAAGAAGTCTCTTAAGATAGCTAGGAATAGCAGGCAAAAAGCCAGCAGCGGATAAATATTTCTATATATTTGGTACTGAACATCCAGTCCACAGGGATGAACAGACTCTCCTCCTCCCCAGCATGGAAAAATCTTTATTCTTGTCACTTAGGCAGATTCTTCAGCAGAATTTTCTTTAGAGGCTTTCTTGGCACTGTGGGGAGAAAAATATAAAGGTGATGAGGAAGATGTAAGATACTTGTCCCTTTTCGTCTTGTTTTTGAGAATAAAGATTGAAAAAAAAAAAAAAAAGCTACTCATCAGGAAAATAATTATGTGCTTGGGCTTCTCATGGCCTCTGCTCGATTTTGCACATCAGACACACAGAGGTCTCAAGGCCTCCCGAGGTCGTTGCCCTGGAGTGAAGGCCAGCACATGTGCATTTTTACGCAGAGCTGGATCTCAGTCTAGAAGTGTCCCCATGAGACCTTTCACACACAGCAATAGAACTAAAATAAATACAACCGCTACTCAAACTTTAGTGGATAAAGTCCAAAGAAAACTGGCCCCACATTTGAAAGTTTACTCTGGGTCAGAAAAACTGTTGATAAAAATATTAAAGTGCACCGAGGGCTATTAAACACGGACCGAATCTCTGATCCAAATCAGAGATGCAAATCTCAGGAAGTCACTCACCTGACAGCTGCCAGCAGAAGGCAGTGTGCCAAGAAGAGCCTGCTCCACTCCTGTACCAGCCTCCAAACCTATTGCTGGCCAGTGAGGAGGAAGAGCTCTGAACTGACTCAGTATGGACATTTCAATGCTCCTCAGTTAAGGGTAAGTGTAGGGCACCTGTAGATAGAGGCATGCTTTCCTCTTTGTGCTAGTGCCTCGTCTGTAAACCCTCTCCAACAATCACTCATACTTGACCACCATGTGAATCTGAGAAGCAGTGTACTTTCTTTCCAGACAGTACTTTTCAACAACTACACAAGGAGATGGTTTGCAGAGAACCAAATTAAGACTTTTTAAGTTGCTAAAGCTGCCATAAGCAAACCTCAGGTTAGTCTGAGCCATGATGCTTCCGAAGCCTTGAGAAGACTAGTGCACGAGTTAACTAACGGGGAAGTTTTATCACCACTCACGTTCCCAACAATCCAAAAATAATAGTGGATCATTCATACCCTCCTCTTTTCCTGTTGACGGGCTGCTCCGAGCACTTCACGAATATTGCTGCCTCTTCTCCCTTACTGAGACGTGAGGTGCCATCTCGAGAACAGAACACCACTCTGGAATAAATATTGGAGGGGGAAAAAAAAATAAAAAAATCACATGGCTGAGCCAGACATGCCTTTTTAACCTTAGAAACAGGACTGGTGCTTGGAAGCAGTCTTTATACTTTGTCATGTGGGGCACTACTACTTTACAAGTGAGTGAAAAAGTTACTTTTAAAAGAGAATTCCATGACAAAAGAAACACTGTGCAAGAAAAATTGGTAAACAGTTCATACCTAGACATCAAACTGTAGCCATAACTTTCACTATGATCTTTTGCATGACATCTTCTTGAAGCTAAAAGAGCAGAAGGTCTATTCTCTTAAATCTTATTTCGATCAGTCCTTATGCAAGTTTTTTGTCAGGTGAACGAACTTGGAAGAAAGCCTTACTCCCTCAAATGTTTGCAAACGAAGTAGGCTGTCAATTCCAGCAAACCTGAGCAGTTGCTTTTCTATTTATCAGTACCTTCTCCACCCCTATATTTGTTCAGCTCTGATAACTGTTCTTTGATCAAGTGACTGCCTTGTTTATTCAAAGAAAGAACTTATTATTTACTATACTGCACATAGGACACACATACTCTGTTCTGGGTCCATGTTCTGCAAACAGATCTCATGCCTAGTGAATGAGTATTTCAAAAGATTCATGTCAAAGCAGTTCTGTTCAAACTTTGATGTTTTAACATTCATGCATTAGCAATGTCCTGCAACAGTCATGTTTTTAAAGTTTTCTTCCACCATTCAGGCATTCAACTCCTAAGAAAATTCAGCTTAACAAAGCAATAATTTCTTGTGCAAATACACTTTTGGAAGGGTTTCTAAAAATCTCCTTTCCAAGCATGCTCTCTACAAGAAAACCTATGCAAATACCCAGCACGAAAATGGAGGAGGAAACTGCAAACAACCACTGATGCTGGTTCATGGAGATACTCTCCTGCATATTACAGCTAACCTGAGACAGATGAGACAGTGACACGCAAATTAATTACACGTGTGAGTAAGACTACAAATTGCACATCCCAGTGGAAGCAAACAACTGAACCTGGCTGACGTAAGTGGTGGTTTGATGCTACCAGAGCCCTGATTATCAGTGCTGCACCCACCTGTGATTGCTTAAAATGTTTGTCCCACCCTGTGAGATACCAGAAATCAGGAAACACTGTCAAAGCTTGTAACAATCAAAACAAGTTACTTTTTCTGAGTTTCTCCTGACTTGACTCTGACTCTCTGGATGTCAAATGTAAAAGGAGTCCACCAGTCAGTCCAGCTGAACAAAGTGTCTTTCTCCCACTGCAGCTTCAGCATAAGCAGGTCCCCAATGTCCACTTCTGTGTAAATCAGGAAGGAGAAGGTCTTGTTTGAGGAGACTTCAGGCCTGTGGGGAGGAAAATAAAGAAATGAAAAGCACACTCTGAAACTGCTGGACAGATAAAAGGAAATTAAGGAGAAAAAGAACCACAACTTTTTGTACTCTAGAGAAGAAGGAAGTAACCTTCTCCACAGTTCTGATGGGTGGAATAAGGACAAAACACCTCAAAGCTTTTGCAGAGGCAAAAGGAAAAAGCTTTCTGCAGCAAGGTTGGTAAAATCCTGGGACAGTCTGCCAGGCAAGGGGTGTCCTCTCCTGTATTGGTGACTCTCAGAGGAGCCAGACAAGCACCACCAGTTTAGATTCCTCAGAGCAGAAAACAGACTTTGGTGCTTTCCAGCTCCATTCCCGGCCAGCCCACGTGCAGGGATGCACCCACGAATTTCTGCTTGTTTGCAGAGCTGTGAAAGCAAATCCCATGTCTCCCTCAGCTTTTGCACCGAGGCCTTCAACCCATCAGACAATTAACTCCAGGCTGCAGGTGACTTTTAAGAAGGTTTAACACAGTTGGAACACAGCATAAAGATATTGGAAATAAGAAAACACCAGAGAAACTCTTATCAGGCTGAGTCACAGGTCAGACTTCACATTTCCATATTTCAGATGTCTTATCAAGAAGAGCTCCTGTAGAGCTCAGTTCATTAGCTTCAAAAGTGGATGCATCTCCTTGATCAAGGACATGAGCAGATTCTGGGACCCTGTAAGATTTCTGTAGCTGGAGCTAGAAAAGACTTTCATCTGGGGCTTTAACAAGTTTAGGTAAACTGAACACTACATTTTAATTGTTTCTGTAGCTACTCACAGTGTGAAGGAAATTTTCTCACTCTCATCTAGAGTGCCATAGAGAGAGATCAGGAATGGCTGATTTGTCTTAGTCATATTAGTCTTTCCAAAGAAATGGATCTTGACTTGGTAATGAAAGACTGGAAGAATGCAAAAGAAAATGCCATTAGGAAAACTCAAACTCCAAAGAGACTGCTGGCAACAAACCCACCCAACCCCACACCTGAAAATGCTAGGCTGGAATATGCCAACTTCACTAAAATGAGGAGCTTAGTTCCCTGTAGGTATCCAGGGAACTGTTTTTGAGAGGAGGTAAATATTAGTATGCAAGGCAATCACTATTTGCAGTTCTTGCAACTAAACTCTGCATTCAAGCTGCCACTCTAACAACCCCAGAGTCTGCAGTATCACCCTTAAACCTTAAAACTGAATGCTTAAGAATTGCTATCCTTGACTTGAAATGACTTGTACCCTCCTCATACCTTGGTAAAAAAAAAAAAAAAAAAAATCAACCCAGTGACACTGCAGATTAAGTACCAAACACCAACAGAACACTGCAGGAATGTGCCCTCTGATTGCTGGTCCATCACACAATGCACACAGCAAACATACCATGGGGTATAGGCAAAGCTAGGGAGGAAAAATAAAGTAGTAAAATCCAACTCAGAAGCCACTTCCCTAGCTGAAAGCCTTCCTGTTCTCTCTGGCAGTGTCCTTCTCAGACCTGTCACTGTGGCAACTGGAAACAAGAAGTGCTGTGATATTTTAATGAGGGCTAGTAGTCCTCTAGCAAGTGCGCTACAAAAGATACAAGTCAGATGGTTGCATATCTTTAAATTTATCAGATTAAGCTCTGCTGATTATTTCCTCAGCAATAGTAAAAACTCCTTTGGTTGAAAAATACTGAAAAATTTGGAAGACTCAGTTGTTCCAAGATGATTGGGCCCCAGAGCATGTTTTCTTAATTTTGCTACCTAGAAACTTTCTTTTTGTACTCTATCCCCACCCCCACACCTTGAGTAGGATGGCACTGTTTCCTCTGAGACTGTAGTTTAGCTTGCACTCAATGGCAAGCAGGAAGAAAGCTTCACCCCTGCTCACCACAGGCACCAAAGCAGGAACAGCAACATCATCATCTGCAGCACATGCCCACCATGACACACAGATGAGCACAAGCACCAGTCTTGTTCACCATTAAGCAGGCAGGAGCTACCTTTATAGGGCATCTGAGCACGGGTCTTCAAGTACATTTTGGTGTTTCTCTTTGTTCTCACTCTGTTGACCTTGTAGCCCAAATTGTTGCAGCGGTTCTTGCGGCAGCTCAGGCAGAGACCCTTCTCAAAGGCCTCCTTTGTGTTGCAGCGATAGGCCATGCTGGGCTTTTCTTCATAGAGGAGGGAGTCAATGAAGAGGTGAATGGATCGTTCATGGGAGCATTTCACCAGCTGGTCCATATCTTGAAAGAATGGAAATGTATAATATACGTATAACACACACATATAAAGATATGAATCCCTAGGCAATGCTGTCAACAGGCATGATCCACTATGCCAGAGCTGGGCTTTACAGGATGACTTTTAAAAAGCACTTAAAAAAAACCCTATTCCTGTGCCTCTCAGAGATCTTCGCTTGCAACAAACCTATGAAGCTACTGAAGATCTCCCTTTGAATGTTACACCGTTCATTTCAGAGCAAACTCACCTCCAAAGCCTTTTTCAGCAATCAGACGGAGTGCTTCTCCGAAGTTGCAACCTGGCTGGAAACCCCCACCATTGGGATAAATATCAATGTGTCCAACAGGCTTCTGGATCCCAATACTGCGGTCGGGAGAGCCTCGAGTGTAGGTGTGTAGGACATCCACAAAATCAGCATCATCCGGGGAGAGGCGGGTAGGGGCATCAGCATACTCAAAGGTAGGACCAGCTGGATCCAGCCCTTTATGGAACAAACCACAAAGAAAGACTATCTGTCAAAGACACTGACAACAAATGCCAAGCTCAGCTACCACACTGGGCCAGAATATCGCATATGACGTTGGTTTTCCTGCAGATATTACAGTGGGATTACTTAAGTAGCATTCACGTATACAGGAGAATCAAATACACACACAACCTTGAAATGCTGTCACTGTTTAAAAAAAAATAAAAGTGCATGCAGACATATGTAAGGAAGCCCAGGTAACTTCCTCAGAGCTGTAGCATTTCCAGCGGATGGAAGAAACAAACTCATAAGTGTGTTCTCAATGTCTTCCTCTTGTCAAGAATTGTACAGCTTGTAGCTGAAGCATCTGAAGTATGGAAAAATGTCTTGCCAATAACTCCCTGGTAGAGGAAACAACTGGGAAACAAATGAGAGCTTCACTCATTGTCTACATGCCTCAGGGGAAGGGGATTATTTTGGTAAAATGTCAAACTGCAGCAACACTGATATCAAAAACACCCAGAACTATTCTGCCAGTGAACAAGTACTATCTTTTGAATTCAGACAACCACTTGAGAGATGGTTGCAAGCAGAGCTGAAGGGATGTGAAGGGGACAGGCACCTGGGTTGTTCAACCATGGTTAGCTTCACCCAGTCTAAGCTGCCTCCCCACTGCTGTGAGGACTTCAGGGACCACATAACATTGCTCCCTTTGCTCAAAGGTGACAGTGTTTTCCCAGGGAAAGGGCTCATCCTGGGCACCAGGAGCAACTATGGAAGCATAACAGAGGGCTACTGGTATTCCAGTGATTTGACAGTCTCAGAGAAAGCAACAAGCCTGCAGCTGAGAGAAAGGAAAGATAGAGGGACTAGTGCTTTGGCCTCCTGGTTTCAATCTGCCACCTTCTCAAGACTCAACCTTTCCAGATGCAACTGCTGCCTAGCCCACCTCTCAGCCTGCCTGTGGATCTGGGATCACAGCCAGGCTCAGCTGAAAGGGTGAAGGGTGCCACGGAGCTAGACTCCCTTTTGAATGCTGCTCTCAAGTTCTCTCAGCAACAAAGACACCACAGATGAGCAATTTTCTTAGCCTCATTTGCTGATGCTGGCACTTCCTTTGTCACTGAAATCAGTCTTCCAGGTGCTAGGCTGTAAACCAGACCCAGGGTGCCCATGCACCACCTTGTCTAGCACACTTCTCAGTCTCCAAAAATCACCTTAAACAGCCATCTAAGCACACATAGCAACAGGGCAAGAATATCTATGCTTTGTTCTCCTTCCCAGAACTCTCACAGTATTATTTTTCAGCCTAGAATATTTTTTGAGCCTGTTATGACTCATTTTTTTAATAACCCACAGTGGACCTCTTCTGATTATCTGTCCAGTCTCCCTGTGAGCCTGTATAAACTTCTTGCACCTGCAGCACTCCACGACATGGAGTTCTGCAGGTCCTATATCCACTGCAGCAGGACTTAAACCCTGTTCTTTTTGAATGGCTCCCATCAGCTGCAAGGAATGACTGCCTGGATGAAGACAACCAGCTGAAGTTCTCATGCTGCAAGAGATACTGTGACCTCTCCAAGCCGTGGATTTGGCCAGTCCCAACCACATTCCCCCCCAGCTAGTCTCTTATCGTGGCCTACTCACTCATTTCTTGTGAAGAAGCAAATCAAGGCTTCTCACTCACCACCTTTGTTGTTCTTTTCTGAACCTTTTTCAGTTCTACTACAGAAACACTAGCCCTGCAGTTTCAATAAAGCCTGAACACAGAATCAAAGTGCTGTCAGCAAGCAACAGTTATTCCGGCGATTTTTCAGAGAAATGTGTTTCAGCATGGAAGATATAGGACTCTCCACTCTACAGTCACAGATTTTCTTACCAGTAATTCTGTTCACCTTCTTCTTGGTCAAGCTCCCAGCAACCCCAGCAGCGTGAGCACCTAGGCTGTACCCCAGCAAGTGGACTTTGTTGAGAGGATAATTGAATTGCTCCTGTTCAAGAGAACAATTTGTTTAAAATTTGAAGCCAAATGTGAAAACGTCAGAAGACACAGAAGAAAATGTTTTGTTAATACTGGGATTTCTCTTTGAGCCATGAATAATAGAAGAAATACTATACAGTAATCATAATTTTATCATAATTTTGTGCCATACTAGATCACTTGAGCTAAGCAACTTAGGCCAAAAATCTAACCAGAGAGGATTGCAGAATGAAGGACAGAACACAAGACTGTGTATGATATGAAAGGTTTTCAGCCGCTCCCTTTCCACCAGTTTCTGGATCTCTTAAGTATTTCCCAAAGGAAGGGCAGATTGCTGTTTCCCAAGGGCTGGTGCTGTAAAGTATATAGGAATCTGTCCTTCATAGCTACTTCTCACAAGGCTCCAGAGACCACAAGGTGAAGTTTCTGGAATGCACTGCAAAAGGCCTCTTTGAGTAAGAGGTAACCAGTAAATTAAAGCTGGAATTTTACCAGTCCAGCAAAAGTAATGTCTTCAACAGTTTAACTCCATCTACCCAACAGAAGATGGTTAACACAGCTGTATAAGTGCTGCTTTGTCTCCTAGGATATCATGCACAATGTGAGTGAGGTGTATCTACATGTCTTACCTCCATCCAGTCAATAAATGTAGCAACATCCTTTCCCACCAGCTTAGTGTATGCAGCAGACACTGGGTAGTGCTGCTGAGCTCGAACTAGCCAGTCCACCACAATGACATTTGAATCAGGTTCCCTCTTGTACAGAGCAGCCACAAGCTTTGGTACCCAACTTTCATACATCCCTGTCACCTGTCAGTTGTGGAGTTTTTTTTAATTTAAAAAAAAAAAAAAGAGAGGGAGAGACAGATTAATATTATCTGTGAAATATTGACACCTCAGCACAGTTTGTCAGCAGTGTGGTTAAAAGGGAGATTTCCCCAACTTTGTCTTACCGTCCACCCGTGGATCACCACAAAGGTTTTGCTGGTGTGATTGAAGTTGCACTGTGCCAGGCTGTTCACCTGCCCAGGCACCAGGTAGCAGACATCCTCATCGGGCTCTGCAGGCGTCCGTAAGGAAAACTTGCTCTCGATTCCCTCGAAATTGTTTTCAGCTTCTGCTATGCAAGACCACAGAAAACACAGCAGTGTTTTAGGAGTAGTAGGACAAACAGTTCAGAAGTCACAGGTACAGTGTTGGAGAGGTACCTGGAGCAGTCAATGGGACAGGAGGTTTTCACTTCCTACAGCACTCAGTGGCCACACAACATGCAAAGAGAAAATCAAAGGGTGAAAATTGCTGTCCTTCTAAGGTCCTGCTGAAACAGTGAGAATCTGGCAAGCTGCTAGAGGTATGAATCCTTTTTAGAAGGCAGTATTTTCCCCACTTCATTAAGCAGGAAACCTGTTAATTACCACAAGAGTGCAGAAAACCACACAGGAGAGTCACTCCTGTCACAGACTGTCATGCAGGAAAGCAGCAAATTCCTACCATACTATTAAATATTTTGGTGGTGCATCTTCCACATCACCTCATCAACAATCGCTGCCTAACAAGGCCCTTTATAGCACCCAGTAGTTTCAGTGTATGAAAAACAAGAGCAAGGTCATCCCTGTTTTACAAAATGTTAGTTTTAACTTTTTACAAACAAACGGCAGGTAGGAAGATCAGACACCCATCAGGGAAACTGAACTAGCAAACCAGAAGCCTGTACTTTGAAGGCAGTACATTTTCAGATCATCTGATAAGCTACAGAAAAATAAGCTGCAAGAAAATATCTTCCTCTACCTGAAGATATGTTGAATCCCAGGGTGGGGAGGGAGGTGAAGATCATCACAAAGTATGTGATGGCCTGCAAAGATCACTCCCTCCAGCTCTCAGCTTCAAAATGTAAGTATTCCTTTTGCTCCTGCCAATGCATAGAAGTGACTTTAGGCTTCGTGCTCACTACTTCCTTTGTCTGGGAAGAAACTTAAATGTCTCCTCTTTTCATGTCTGATTCAATACTTAAGTACCTCTGTATCCAACAGACCCTCTAATTAACTGTGGGCTTTTTGAAACCCAAGGCCCAGTTTGGCAACCTGAGCTTAGAAAATATTGACTGCCTGTTTTTCAAGTGCAGCTGAACTCAGGCCAACTTTGTCCAGCTCAGAGTTGTGTTTCCTGGCATTGTGACCACCAAGATTTCACAAACTCCTAAAGACACATTAATGAATGGCTCCAAGCCACCAAAAGAAATGCAAAAGGACAAATAAGGACCTCATGCCAGGCACGCAAAACAGATTTCCACTCTCCTCCTTTTTCGCATTGCAGGCAAGATTTTCTATGATAATTGGAAGATTTACATTTATCCATAAAGTTCTGCTGCATCACTCAGCTGATGAACAGCTAATAATTCATTTTTTTTCTGAAACAGGTTCTCATCATCTCCTTTGAGCTACCAGCCATCAGGGCAGAACTTATGCCTGAACTCACCCAACCCTCAGGCAGCTCTATAAAGTCTGGGAGGTTCTTGCTGTGCTTGGAGGGTCACAGAAATCAGGGTCTAAAGCAAGAGGTCTAAAACCAGCACACAGCCTTGCAACAAATGCTTATGTACAAGCCCCCAGAGAAACTGGTCACCTGTAATCAATGGCCTAATGTGTCCTGAGTTCATCAGGATTCCATAGTCCTCAAAAGCAAAGCACATGCAGGGAAATAAGAACTGTTCAATGCACAGAGGCAGTGCTCAGTTTTAGGCTGGCCACCTAATCCAGAATAATTACAGTGAGGATCTCCTTCCTGCCTCTTTCCCCCTAAAGAAAGGATAAAGTCTATGGAAAATACCTTTCTCCCAATCAGTAGAAGTATTCTTATAATGTTAAACACAACATTTCACCTACCTACTGAAAGCTAAATTTACCAAACTAACCAAATGTTTGCCCCTTTTCTATATTTTTGCATTTTCAAAATTTCTTTTTTTCCTCCACCAGCTGAGTGTACAAAGCACCTTTCTAAAACAAAACTTTAGACTTATATTGTTTACTTTTTTAGCCAGAAAAAGGGAAGTCCCAAAGGTTGATTGGTTAAATACCAACCACAACTTTTCACTCAGCAGTGAATCAGTAAAACCTTGAAAGGAAAAAGAACAGCTTTCAACTGTAAGCCATGCAGTGCAAGGACTTTCAATTATGTATATTCCCATCTAGCACAGGAAGGTGAACAAGAATAGCCCACTTGCTCACTAGTTAATAGTGCTTCCTTTCATACTTAGATTTTGGATGATTATCAGATGAGTTTAATTCAGAAGGGAGATGATATCTAAGTTACATTGATATCCTGTCTTGCAGTGTGTTTTCAATTACAAACACATGCTAGAATTTGCATCTAAGTTCAGATCACAGCTCTTTAGAAAACAAGCTTATAGGAAATTCACAATTTGAAGTGCACTTTACTTAAGGGCACACTTAGAAAAATGCATCAAACTTACAGAGATTGCATCACAGTGGCATCTACCACTGAAGATGTGCGAAGTGCTTCATAAATATTCGTGTTTCAGACTAAAAACCCTTGGCAGGGATTTAAGGACATAAAATCGCTGAGATGCAGTCACCACCAGGAAAGCAGCAGCTGCAAAGCAGCAGCCCATGAGTTAGGGAAGTGGCAGGTGGCCACTCTGCTCATTTAGCTATGTTGTAGGAGGAATCAGAAAGTCAGAAGAAATTACTGTTATCGTCTTATGCCCACAAAAAGCGTCATGTTATCTAATGACCACATATGGTCAGTTCCCAGCAGGAAAGATATACCCTTTGGATAAGGAAAGTGTGTGTGGTGGGGTTTGTTACAGACTTCTTCACGGTGTGCTGAGGAACTATCCTTAGAATTTGCCTGAGTTTGGCTTTGCAAATTCTATATGGCTCAGAGCATAAGATGACCTGTCTACACCTTGTATTGTGGTGCACACATGCTCCAGTATCACCTCACCTCCCACCTGCTACAGATTAAGTTTTAGAAATGTGGTACAGAGGTTCATATAGCCTGCACACACTCACCACATGGACCAACATCTACATGTACCATGTTTTAAACCTGAAGCAGAGAAGTTATGGAGCATATCACTTCAGAAAACTAGTGTTTCCCACTTCTGTTTTTGTTATCTCATAATGTATCTTGGGTCTATTTGAAAAAAATGATTCAGAACTGAACTTTGTCATACACAGATTCTTGCCATAGACCTTTTCCTCATAGATTTAAAATGAATAGTCTTTTTGAATCAGCCAAACAGTCAGGTGTGATTCTTTACACAAAGAAATGCAGACACAGTCAATGCTAAGAGTCACCACTGTTTAGTTAATAATATGTTTTAACTCAAGTTAATTAAAGCAGGAAAAACCCAGAAATGGGGAGTTTTCAGCATGTTTCTGAAAGGTGAATAGAAACCACGGTGGTAGTGGATCAAGGGTTGGACTTGATGATCTCAGAGGTCCTTCCACTCTGGCTGATTCTATGATCTGAATTCACATCACATTTTACATAATATAGATACAGAAAGTAGATATCAAGATATTTACATGCATCCACCCTGAGACACTGAAGTAGCTTTTCATGACAAGAATGCAAGTCCACTTCTAAACAAGGCTTTGGAGAAAAACAGGCCTGGAAGTAAAAAACACGTAGACAAAACAAACCCATCCTTTTGTTAAAAACCACACTTTCCCAGACTTAGTTCAGAAGAGTTACAACAGCATGTGTTCTGTATTGCAAAAGCTTCCAGGCACACAGTTAAAAACACAAGCCCCTCTTGCAAAAGAAAATTTTCTGTCTACAGCTATGTGGTTACAATTAACAAGGTGACCTACAAAGCAGTTACTTAGGGAACTGGAAAAGGATTAAGTGACCAATTTCAGATGCAAGTTGGCTTTTCTAACAGCCTGCAGGCTGCACTGCCAAACTTCACCATTTTACCATGCTCCATGAGTTTTTCTGATGTTTTTCTTACACCACCACTTCAACAGTCTCAGTTTTTGTATTAAAAAAAAAAAAAGCTGTTCTGAGCACCAAGGTATTGAGAATCTCATAGAACTCAAGAGTGTGGAAAGAAAAAGCTTAGAAACAGGGAAAAGTCAGTAGTTCTTTTTTTCCTGTTCAAACTTTCTGACACTTTTGACTTGCAACTTGTGAACTGAACTCCATTCAGTTAGACTTGGAGCATTCTGACACAGTAATCAAGAGAATTCAGTTTCAAGTTTACTTCACAGGAAGCCCAAGGCAACCTGGCAAACTATTTGGGTTGTGAAAACTGTTTATCACTGGTCAGTTGGGTGGAGAATGAGAGTTTTGAGGAAGTAACAACATCTGGAATATTAATCAAAAGTTAAACTGCCCACTTTGGACACAGCTTGCCAGAATATAACAATGCCTTTGCCAGAACGAGCACACCTAAGCTACGCTTTTAAAAAGGGAATCTTTGATAAACAGCAACTTCCTATCATTACGTACTCAGAAATGGAAATACTATTAGCTAGGTGCAAAGATCCTTGAAATTGTGTTACTAGACTGCAGCCCACAGAGACATGCACACAAATACCACATGCACAGCAGCAAACATCTGCATATAACATCAAACATTTACCAGCTGTAGTTTACTGGATTAACTCTACCCTCAGCTGACAGCCAACGTTAGGATCACCCATCAATCAGTCATACTGAATTCCTAAGAGTTCTGAAGGAAACTCACAGTCAGCTGTAATAAAGGGGCTGCATCACAGAAATTGTTACCGTTTAATCTGATCTACACTATAAACTGAAAGCAGACTACTTGGGTGTGTTGCAATCCCAGGAAACCTACCTCACAAGTCAGGTTACTGTTTAACCTTGCTGTAAAAAAATTACAACCCCAAGTTTATTTATGTATTCCTTAGTGGCAGAACCCTGAGAGTACGTTCTGCTTCACTTCACAGGTGGACACAAATGGAAAGAGCAACCCCTCTGAAAAGCTACTGGGCGCAAGTTCAGATGCTGAGCAAGGACCTCCCTGCTCAAGTCCTGCAGCTGGCAAACTGCTGCTCTCACACTGTGCACATGGGTGCCCCTTTCTAAGGCACTCCCTGTCAAATCCTTACTCAGCTGCAGCTGGGATGCTCGTAACTCAGTCCAGCAGAGCTCTTGCCATCCATCAGTCCCTCTGGGATATCTGGAATTAGCCCAAGACAATTAAAATGCAACCACTGGCAGACTTTGCAGTAATAAGGAGGAAAGGATGCTTGAGAAAGCCCTGGCACGCAAGTACTTCTGCACAGAGGAGTACTAGTGGTCATGCTAATCTCCACAATACTTTTGATGCCTGACAGTCTCACCTCTGTGCCTTCTCAGAAATGCATTGTTTCTGGAAAGGCCACAACACAGCTGTCCTGGTAGGTCTACCCCAAACACAGCCATAGCAAAGGCTCACATCACACAACAGTGCAAATATGCTGACTCTGGATTTATGTTGGTAAAAACAGGGATCAATCAGAATGTATTCCTAGTAATGTTGTTATCTTTTCCTGGTACACCAATATTGTCTTCATCTAGAATATATTTTTCTATGTTGTTTATTAAATATTCCTGATTTCTGAAGGGCTGCATCGTGTGTTTTCCATGTTTTCAAAGCACTTTTTACTGTGGTGTGCAAGAAATAGTGTGGGACTGAAGGCTTGCATAGCTTTAGGATGAACACACAATCTGCTTTCATATAACCTGTTCCTAAGGAGGAATAATGAATATTATTAGTACGTCTGCAGCAAGTCAGCTCCTGCAGGGATGAAAGCTTGCTCTTGGAAGGTAGTTATTTTACTGTATACAACTTGGATACTGTTTTGATTGTCTCTGATGACACAAGATGGATTGAAAGCAAGAACACATTTCTTTGGCTGTGCCCTAGCACCCCATCCTCTTACTTTTGAATACTTCCCTTCAGCTTCCTTGTCACAAAGCAATAACAAAGGCATCCACAGTAGAAGAAACAGCAGTTTACACATTCCATTTTAGTATCACACAGCAGGTCTAAGAGCTACAGTCACATTTTCTTCTAAGGCCGTGGTCTTTTGAGGATAGACACTGTGTGTGGGAGATCAGGGTAAGAAAGAAGCCCGGGACAGGGCAACTGCTAACATAAGTTCGAGGAGTAGTGGTCTCCTAAAACAAGACTCTTTTCTCATAAAAGCTGCACTCGTGGTGTGATTAACCGAGAGAGCAACAGTGAACATCTAGCAGTCAACATTCACACATGTTCCCCTCCCCGTAGCATGGGAGGTGCCCACGCACCAGTGCACGTGCAACAGGCAGAGTGCAAGCAGAACCTAAGTGAATCTACAAGACACTGCAAGAGTACACTCTCTCTGCTCACTTTTTCCCTGATGGATTCTGCTGCATTACGGGCATTAACAACGACTCAAATAGATTATCATGATACTGATGAAACTCAGCCTTGCCTTGTCTAGGACCAAGAACCGTAGGAAATGGATGGATGAGTCCCATGCAGAACAGAGGAGAGGGCTAAGGGACTTTACCGTGATGCTACTGCTGCGCCAAACCCTTGCTGGAGCAAGGGACTCTTCTTTCCCCCCCACCTTGCTTGGGGGGAAAAGACACATCCCAAACCTTGACAGCTCGTGCCATCAGCCAGGTAGGCTGTGCCTGAGCTTCGGTCGGAGAAGAGGCTCCACATCTCTCCCAAGAGGATGTAGGACCCCCCGGTATCACTCTCCAGCGCCTTCTGAGGCCACCTCACGACACCCGGGTCCCGCAGCATCCCAAACACCCCGGGAGAGCTTTACAAAAGAAAAGGTTCCCGCCATGCCGGCAGCGTTTCCTCCCCAAGCCCCCCTTCCCCAGAAGCAGCAGGCAGGGCGGCAGCCCCCGTGCGCGCTCCGGACTCCGTCCCGACCCCCCGCCCCGGACTCACCGCCCAGAGCAGGCACCCAGCGCAGGCAGAGGTAGAGGAGGACGGCCAGGAACACCTTCCTCCCCATCCCGCCTCCTTCAGCGGCGCAAAAGTTTCGGCACAAAAAAAAAAATAAAAAAAAAATTTAAAAGTAACTTTTGGTTAAAAAAAAACTGATGAAAACTAAATACAAAGCGTAGCGCGGCGGGGCACGGCCGGCTGCGGGACAGTCCCCAAGCACCCCGCACGACCAACCCTTCCACCACAGCTCCCCGCCCGGCCCCTTAAGTGCCCAACAATATGCAAATATGCAAATGAGCCCCCCGGGCATTGGGCGATCGCGGCGGGGCCGGAGGGCGCGGTTGGGGGCCGGAGCCGATCCCGATTCCCAGGGGCAACGCCGACCACGGCACCCCGGCACGGACCCCTCGGCCCCGACCCCCCTCGGCCCGACCCCCCGCAGCCCACCCACATCTCCCGGCCAGCCCTGCCCCCACCGCCGGGATGCGGACACTGGTCCTCCCCGCCCGTGGGACCCTGTGCTGTGCCTCTGCCGGGGTCTCCCTTCCCATCTCCCTGCCTTTGCGCCAGTAACCAGCCGCTCGCCGCCTTTTCGCTGCCGTGCCCGCGAGGGGCCTTGCCGAAACCTTGTTTTGCCAGCACTCAAGGGGATACGAGTTTGGAGAACAACTTAATTCACTGGAGGTTGCATCTGTGCTCCCGAGAAATAGAAAATTGATTCTCTCTCTGCCCTCCTCTCGGAAGTAGGGTTTGCAGTGAGACTTGAGTCGGTGACCACCGGGTGAAAGATCGGTTATGTAAGAATATTAATTTAACAAAATACCAGTTTTCGTTGCACTGTGCAGTTTGTTGCCAAAGGCCCAGCTTCATAAAGAAGCTTATGACACAGGGAATGAGGACTCCCTGGGTTTTGGAACGTGAAGCAAATGGGATTCACTTCGAGGGTAACTGATCTTTCTCATACCAGGCACCTTCGGAAACTAAAGTATATCTGGTTTATATTAGAGGTTGCTGAAGTGTAGCACAACTGGGTCACTTTCCAACTTTAGATTCCACTAAAAGGCCAGTAAGATCTGTAAGTGAGAATACACCTCCCTCAAAGCACAACTAGAAGTTCCTCCACCGCCAATTTATATCTATTTATACACAAAAGGCACTGGAAGAACTTAATGAGGGTACAAACTGTTCATGCTGAGACTTTCTTTTCCACTGAGAGAACCAGGTGGCAGGGAGGGGGAGCTAACACAAAGGGTGGGGGGCAGTGAGAGAGAGTGGGAGTCAGAGCCAGAGGATTGGAAATGAAAAAGCTGGGAATAAGGAGATCAACCTTCCTCACCAGAGGATGGTGGTGATGTGAGACAGGAAAAACGCGGTTTGTTCTGCAGCTTGCTAAGTACCAAACATATCCTCTGACACCCGATGTTTGAAACCCTTTTGTCAAAACAATAGCAAGAATTTTCTCACGTCTTTCTTTTTTTCCCTGCGTGGACTAAACAATGCATTTGTCTTGATCTAATTTGGTTGAAACTCGATAGCTCAATTTCCCCCTTAGAAATCAGCCTGGCTCTATCTAGGGTCAGACATCCTTCCTAGAAAATTCCATTCCCTGATGGCAACATTTGGCAAACTAAAAGAACAGACACTTTAAGGCAAGATGCTGTAAGGGAGACTGTCAGGCCACCTTAATCACAAGTGATGCTACTAACCCCATCAGAGGGAAACAGAACATGAAGTCTCCTGATCTGCACAGCTACACCCATGGCTACTGCAGAAAAAAAAGCTTACATTGCAATATAACTGTGGGAAAAGAAGTAGAGTAGTTTTAACTGTATATAGAATCAGACTAAACAAACAGAAAGGACCAGTGGCAATGCTTGGCTCACTAGCCCTGCATGGACTGCTAGCCCCCACTAACAGCTGCAAATCCACAGGCTGTATTTAGACTTTCAGTTAATTCCCTATACTGATTGTGAAATCCATCAATAGCAAGGGCAGGTAGCAGATTGACAGCAGATTAACTACTCAGAATTTAATCTAATTTGTTACACTGAAATGCTTATTTGCATAAGTTTTTGTTCATGCTCATGCCACATTTTAAGACATAGAGATATGTATTTAAGAAAGAGTTATGCAAAGTCTCCACCTAAAAAAAAATAAAAAAAAAACAAAAAGGAGGAAGATTAAAATCAAAACACTAAAAGACAACTTTCAAGTGATGAAAGGCAGGGAAAGGGGATAATTCTGGTTCCTCGGATCTTGAGCAAATTGCCCGTTTGTTGTAAATTCAGATGCAAAATAATCTGAAATAGTTGAGACTCAGCACATTTTCTAGCATTAAAATCTTTTTGTCCCTTGCACATAATCGTGATCAGATGGAGAAGAAGCTTCATGGCATCAACTCAAGGTGCTTCAATGCAATCATTAACTGGACTTGAATTCCTCTTCCTCTGCAAAATACATAATCCTACAGGGGAAAGCAAGGCTCCATCTGTAAAACAGAGCCTGATTTATAGTATTTATGGACTCCAAAGTGGGTAGAAGGCAACATGATGAGAGCTAAAATACATTATTTCTATTAAGGAGGAGGGGAAAGCCTGGAGGAATGGAGACAGGAGTTGCATAACTAGGCTGGTACTTGCACCCACAGACCACGCAGAAGGTTAAACTCAAAACAAGCCCACAAGTGCCTCCAACACAATTGGTTTATGTGATGCAACTGTGCTAAACCCTGAGCAAATTCACTGTCCTCATACAATAGCAAGCAAGGGGAGAACCAACCCCAAAATTCCATTTCCACAGCAATTCTCCAAAGAGAGCTTGAAACACAGGGAGTAGGGGAGGAGCGGGGCGTGACACAGCATGACACTGAACATCTTTGTGCTGCTTTAATTCTATTAATATAGAAGATCTGATAGCTGAGGATGAGAGGTCTTCCAACAAAAGCATCTGCTTAGAAACAAGCAAAAAAAAAACCCTGTTCTGGTCTCCTTCTGACTAGGAAATAAAAGTAAGTAAGAAGTCATAGGGGTTTTTTTCTTTTCTTTTTTCTTTTTTTTTCCCCCTGCAAATATTTGAATTTTCTCTTTCTCCCCAAAACAAAAACAGTAACAATAAACCAAAGAGCTTCCACGACCTTCTATGTGATTTCTATGCTAATAAGTTCAAAGAAACAACAATTAAAAAAAAAAAAAAAAAGGAATTATTTTCTCCTACTTTAAGTTTGTTCAAAGATGAAATGTTTCTTAAAATCTATTTTTCTGAAGACCAGCCATTTTTAATGAAACTTCGGTTTGGGGATAAAAAGTTACTCTTCTCTGCCTGTTTCAATAATCGTTAGTTGGGCTACAGCAATAGCTTTACATGCAGTGGAGGTCCTCTCGTCCTGTTACTGTGCTCTGAGGAAGGAGCAACACGGCACCAAACCATCCAGGGGCTTGAAGGTGACTTTAGCAAGCCTGTCGCACCAACACTTATCAACAGACCCTTCTTGTGGCACACTCTTTGCCTGCTTTTCCACGGTGGCAGTGGGTGTGGGGTGCAGGTACCTCTCAGCAGGGGCAGGGGCAGCCCAGTGACAGGCAGGCATGCAGGCAGGTGAGAGCTCCAACCGCAGGAAAGCCTGCACATTGTGGTATCTCGGATCTCCCTACATGGGCAGCAGTGGGAAAGGTGACAGCAGGAAACAGCTGTGTGTCTGCTTAGGAACACAATATGTGCAACTGCAGTGTTGGTACCTGGAAGAGCTCAGCTGATGGTACAGAAATACAGGGAGATATGCAGCAGCTGCAGCTCTGACTGCAGTAGACAGGGCACCTGTTCCTCCTTCTCACTCTTCTGTTTCGCCAAGTGAGTCTTTCAGTCTTTGGTGCCACAGAGGAAGCAGGAGGAGGCTTGTATAAAATAGCCTTTAGCTGTTGTATCTTGCCTTGCTTATCCTTTGTATTGCAGCGATATGACCTGCTGTTCTGTTCCTGGGTTGCCTTATCTCTCAGACAAGGCCCTTTCTCACTGATTAGCACAAGGATTCGTTCCTCTTCATCCCGCTCTCTTATTTTCAGTACACAGGGTAAGCTACCAACTCCTTCAGAAAAAAAGAGATATGGAATGGAGCAGGATGCCCCGCTCTGCTAGTGAGCTGCAGATCCGGTTGCAGATTAAGCTTGTGCTATGCTTTTCTCAACTGTGCTTTAATTAATGATCGCACTGAGGGGAGTGCCTTGCCAAAGTCAGCCAGCTGTCTCGCCAGACACAGCTTTCAAAATGCAATGCCAAGGGGGAGACATTCCGGCACCCCATTTTGGGGTGGCATGTAGGGGAGTGTAGTCCAACTCCCTGCTCATTGGCCGTGGGGCTGGTGTGCTGATCAAGTGTGGTCCCCCTCAACATCCCTCACGTGGCTCCCAAGTCCTGCCTGCAGTAGGTTAAAGATGACGTTGTCTGAAACTTCTGCAAGGTTACGAAAATGTACAAGGGCAGGGGGGAGAAGAGGGAGAAGAGCTTTTGCCTGACTGAAAGTGCTCAGTACCAAAAGTCCTCAGGTGCCCACAAGGGCAGAAGCAAGCCCCTGCATTTTGCCAGCAGGATGCCTGATGGAGAGACTTCAGCATCCCCTGCTCTCTCTTGTTCTTCTCCTGCAATTTGCTAAACTCATATCTCCAACCATGGGAACAGAGCCTTTTCACTCAGGTCCCAGCTTGGCAGTCTGTGCCCCTGCTTGCCAAGGGAAGAAGCGAGTAGGATGAGAGAGCAACGCGCAGTGTCACCACTGTGGGAAAGTGAATCTGTCATTTTGGTTTTGAGAAATGTATCAGGGAACACAAGCCACTTCTCCGGCCTCTGGGCTCTCCAGCGAGGGAGAGGATACTTGCACACACTCTGCTTTTCCTTTATTTTACTCTGCAAGGCTGACAGATGGTGTGTGGTGCAGCCAAGGCTGGATTCCAACTTGTATCTCCTTTGGTTCCTTGCAACTTACTGAGAACAGATTCCTCCTTGGGCTGACATTTCCATCTCATCCCAAAGGGGATTTGTTTTAATTTTCATTTAAAGTTTCGACCAACTTAGCATTGCTGCTCTGGGATGTTGCAACTGGTAAGTAAAAACGCCCTCATGGCCCAACACTCCTACTGTAGCCATCCAACCCAAGTGCTCATGGAGTGAGGAGTGTG